GCTAGCGGACGTGCCTCCTGGCCGCGTGGGTGCCCGGGTTGTTTATCCAGCACTCATCTGAGTTTACACAAAAGCCTGCGGTCCAGGCTCTGATCCTTCGCGTAAGAGGAGTGAGCTTCTGGGGGACATGAGAAGGGACGGGCTGGCCCAGGGAGCCGTGTGGGCAAAAGGGGCCAACAGCCCCCCCGGGCCACGGCTCCAGAAGGCTACATGGGGCCGCCTTGGTCACACCAACCCTGTCTGATCCCCTCCTGTTGCCATAGGTCGCTGGGTCAATAGAAGACTGGGGGCCTGTGCCCCCTTCCAAAGTGGGGAATGGATCCGGGCAGCTCGTGGGAGCACAGCCTCTGCCCCGAGGGCCTCCTGTCCCCCAGCCTCTGCACCACACAGCTCTCTTGAGGGGGCGGCCACGGTCACCTGCCCTGACAGTGGCTCTCACGGGATCCCACTCAGACCCTGGAACAGCATAAAGAGCTACCATGCGGCTGTGACCCTCCTGGGCTATGGACAGTCTGTCCCCCTTTGTCCCTGGGGCAGGACTGGGGTGCCTGCAGAAGCACCTCAGGGGAGATCTCTCCCCGGAACCAGTCCACTGAAGACCCCGCATGTCACCTCTGAGGCTACCTCCTCGGGGAATTCTGATCCGCAGTGATGGCAGTGACCTCGGAGGGGGCAAGCCTCCAGGATTTGCAGACTGAGGCCCACTTGAGCACTTTATTAGCATCTGCTTCTGGTGCTGTTGAAATGTCTCCGGGGCTCAAGGACGCTATAAATTTTCGGTCAAGGCTCCTCTGGCTGCGTCGCTGTGCCGGCTCCCAGCACCCGCGTTGGTAAGAGGCCTAGTCCTCAAGCTCCTGGGGGAAGCGGGAGCCTGGGGGACTGTTTCTCCTCCCGTGTCTTCTGGAGGCTCTGAACCTCCTTCCAATCGGTGGGGATCCTAAGTCCCCTTCCTGTCAGAAGCAATTCGAGGGCTAGTTTTCTGTTGCTTAAGACCAGAGTGTCCTGTGTCAGGAGTTGGACAGCCTGGACCGCGGGGGAAGAAAAGGGGCAAGAAGGATGTGGAGGTTTGGAATAAGTTTGTCCCACTCAAAGCAGATGATTTGGGAGAGAGCCCCAGGAAGGGACGGAGGGGCCACCACAGCGGCAGCCCCTGCTGTGGGCTCAGGGCACAGGCCTCTCTGCTCCCAGGCCCAGGGGAGGGGACGCTCCTGCTGCCAACCCACCGAGGACAGGGGAGACCTACGGTGGCTTCTCCATCCAGAAGGAAGGGCGTGCGTCAGCCTAGTAGAAAATATGTCAACAACGTTCTAAATGAGAATATCTTCTGTCCCGGGTGGTTTGGACTTCCGAGAGGGCAGACCTGAGACGCGCGAGGGGCAGACGCCCTCACACGTCCCGTCACTGCAGCCCACACTTTACTCTGCCACTCCCGTAGTGACCTGCTTGGCACAGAGAGGGCGCGCCAGTGCGGGCACTGCAGGAGGTGAGGGAGGGGCCTCTGGGGAAATGGCATATGGCAGAGTTGGGAAGACCTGGGGAGGAACATTCCGGGGAGAAGGCACAAGAGTGCTGGTGTCTTCGAGAAGGCTGGTGGCTGGAGCCCCAAGAGTAAAGGGTTGCGGGGGAGGGGAAAGGGGCCCTGGTCTCACTCCAAGGGTGCTGGGGGGGCCCGCAGGGGGGAGCTCTCTGTGCCCTGTGCCCACAGTAGATTGGGAAGGTGGGGACGGGGAGGCTGTGGAGGCCACGCAGGGTGGTGGTGGCTTGGACCAGGGTGGCAGCAGTGGGGGAGGTAGGACGCTGCTACCTTAGGGCATATTTTGAAAGGAGAATGAAGAGGCTACAGGGAGGGCACAGGCCTGCCCACCGTGGGTCTCTAGTCAGCGGGCTGGGTGGTCCTGCACACAGGAGCTCAGCACACAGAAGCTGGGTGGTCTATGAAAATGTCCTGGCCCCACCTTAGACAAGCAAGCAGCCTCCACAGCCTGGGAGGCCAGATCAATTCAGAACACCCAACTCCCGCAGAGAGCCACAGCACGCCATGCACCCCAGAGGCGTCTCGTGAGCCCCGTGTGTCCACCCCATCCACACCCTGTCCAGTCTGTGCATTGCTGTCCACGCCTGTCTGTGCCCCTGCAAACACTGGCAGCTCAGTACCTCTTAGGGGCTAAGTTGGAGAAGAGACAGGGAGTTCCAGGGGCCTGGGCATTGTGCTCTGGAGCATGCCCACACCCCTGCATGGCTGTAGGAGGGCCAGAACAGAACTGCTAAAGAGTGGGGCCACAGAAGCTGCCTGCTCCAGGAATCCCCACTGGCAAAGGCTGAATTTGTAGGGTGCAGACAGGGAGATATGGGCATTATCCTGGAAACCTCAGGACAGCCTGCCTGAGAGTGAAGCCATCACAGAGTAGCACAGATCCACAGACAGAAAGAGAGACTCCTGGATCCAGCCATGCCTGGAACCGGTGAACCTCTCCCTGGACATTTTAGTCATGGAAATCAACAAATCTCCCTGTGCTCACCAGTCAGGGACTGAATTGCACACTGGGTCGACACTGGGGCAGACAGAGAGGTCGGATGCAGGACAAGAGTGGAGAGCAAGGTCGGCTGGAGGAGCGTGGACTCCCAAGGAGGCAAAGCACTCTTGGGAAATTGGGGGCTGGGACTGGGTGGATCAGACCGGCCTCCTCCTGGCCTCAAGGACAGGAAGACCTCAGCTGACTCCAGCATGACCTGGGCTTGCAAGGTCTGGAGATGGGTTCGTGGTCTTGGTACGCCTGACTGGTTTAATCCCCTCCTGATCACCACTTAGGTCATGTCCAATTCCTTACTGCTATCAATATTTTGTATTGAACTTCCTGAGACGTGGCTTTGGCTTGGTTTCTGTAGCTCCCGGACTGAAGGGGCCATGCTGAACATACATGTCTGTTGGATATGCCCAATGATTCACCACTCTCACATCGGAACCCGGGAGACAGGCTCTGAAGGAGACAGGAAGTGGATGGCATGATCCCATTTTGCGTAGGGGGAAACTGAGGCTGTGAGTGGCACTAGGAAATTGCCTGAGGCTACACACTGGGAAAGAGATACGTCCCTTTTTGGAGTCAGACTCCAAGGTTCACCATCTCGCAATGCCCAGTCCCACAGCAACTCCTTGTGTGAGTCCCTTCCCCTCTCTTCAGCATCTACGTTTCTATCTGTCAAATACAGGAAATCCTAAACCTGAGTGCTCTTCAGAAATCTGAGGCACGCCCTGTCCACGGCGCTCAGACTCTGCATTAAAGAACTCACTATAATGCACTCACGTTTCACAGCTCTGCAGCTTTCCTGCAAAAACAGCTAAAAATTACTGAGCACTTACTATATCCCAGGCATGTTTTTACTTGGATTAACTAATTCAGTTTTCCCTACAACCACAGGAAAAAGTTATTGTTATGCTCTCTATTCTACAAACGGGGAAGTCACAGCAGACAGAGGTTCCATAGCGTTCCTGCGCCTGGTCCTCCACAGGTGGTGGCATCAATGTTACACTGGCCTCACAAATGAATTGAGAAATATTCTTTTATTTTCTATTCTCTGGACAGGTTTGTGTAAGATTGGTGATATTTCTACAACTGTTTGGAAGACTTTATCAATAAAATCGTCTGAATCCAGAATTTTCTTTGCGGAAAGATTTTACATTGTGTATTAAATTTATTGCATTGTTTAGGATTCTCCAGATTTTTTATTTCTTCTAGTGTCAGTTTTGGTAAATTGTGTTTCATCTAAAATTTCCAATTTACTGTCATAAAGTTGCTCATACTATCTTCTTGTTACCCCTTTACTTCTGCATAGTGGCTGTGGTAATACCCTCTTTCTCATTCCTGATAGTGAATTTGTTTTGTTTTTTTTTTTTTTTACTCAATTTTTTCAAGGATTTATTGATTTTATTAATCTCTTCCAAGAACCAACTTTTGGCTTATTACTTTATGCCATTTTTTCCTTTGTTTCATTAATGTCTGCTCTTATTTCTATTATTTCCTCTCATCTTTGTGTTTAATTTATTGTTCTCTTTCTAGCTTCTGTAATTGGAGCTTGGAACATTAATTTTCAACCTTTCTTCTAAAGCTATAACTTTCCCTTCTAAGCACTGCTTTAGCTGCATCCCGCAGCATTTCATATGTCATATTTTCACTACTGTTCACTTCAAAATATTTCAGAACTTCCATCGTGATTTATTCTTTGACACATGATGCTTAATTTCCAAGCATCTGGAGGCATTCTAGTAGTTTTTCTGTTATTGAGTTTTAATTTAATTCAGAGAGGACACACGGAATGATTTCAGTCCTTTGTCATTTGCCGAGACTTGTTTATGGTCCAGGATATGGGTTATTTTGATAAACATCCTATGTGTACCTGGAAAGAATATGTATGCAACAGCTGTTGGTGAAGTGTTGTATACAAGTGAATTAGGTCAAGGTGATTAATCCTGTTGTTCAAACTACATGAGGTTGGTTCCAGGATAGAGAGATAGACCAGTGAGATAGAAGAGTCCAGAAACAGACCTCACATCTGTATATATTCACTTGATTTATGTCGAGGACTCTTCTCCAATTCAGTGGGGAAATGCTTTTCAATAAATGATGCTGGGTCAGTTGGATTTCCCTATGGAAGAAAATGAGCTTTGATTCCCGACCACACCATTTACGAGAATTAATTTGTGGTCCATCATAGATGTAAATGTGAACCCTAAAACAGGCTTCTAAAATAAAACGTATCAGAATATCCTAAAGAAAAGGCACTAACCATAAAAGAAAAGATTGATAAATTGGACGTCATTAAGGATCACTCTGTTCACTAAAAGCAGAAGCAGGGTGGAAGATATTTGCAATACCTTCAATGCAATACAGCTGCAATCATCCGTCTACAGCACAAAGGCGTGTGTCAGACCCAGAACACCTCTCCACAATATGTAAAGAACCCCTACGAATCAATAAGAAAAAGACGGAAGACCCGGTTTTGAAATGGAGCCAGGCCTGAAGCCCGGCGGCGGCTGGTTCCAGGGCTGGCTCCCCATCGCCCCGCCCTGGCCCCGGGACAGCTCCTGCCTGGCCGGTCGCCTTCCCGAGCGCGTCCGGAGAACTCGCCCGGTCGTCCTTAAGCCGGGAGGCGGCGGGAAGCGGCGGGATGCGCTGGCGCGGTCTCCGCGGCTCCGCCCCCGGGGGTTGCCTTTTCCTTAGAAGGCGAAGCCCCAGGTCTCGCCTGTCGCCGGCGGGGAGTCTCCCGTGCGCCCCGCGCTCCCCGCGCCCTGGCGCTGCTGGGCAGAGACCCCGAGGCCCGGGGCAGCCCCGCGGACGTGAATGGAAGGGTCGGGCCCGGCGGGGACACCGGCGGCCACGTCCTGAAGCCAGGACTGCACGCCGGCGCCCGCGCCCGCGCCATGCGGCG